CCTCTATTGAACGGGTGTTGATAATGCTTCTGGTACTGCTGAGAAAACTAGGACACCCTACAACGACCTGTGTTTTTCTCATACACCTTTTTTGTTTTCTTGTATTGAATCTATCACAAAAAATAAACAAAAAAAAAAAAAAAAAAAAGTGAAGAAAAAAATTTAAACTAAATTAGCTTTTTAGTTTTTAAATACCCCTTATGGAGTGAATTTTGGTCCCTTATTGTTGCAAAGATACTTTTTAAAATAAATTTTTCAATCTAAATTTTTAAAATAATTTTATAACAATCATATTTCTTCATGTTTAATTTTTTTAATGTTTTTTTTATTTTTAATTATTAGTTTTTTTTAAAATGTGTCCTGTCTGACAATCAGTAAGAATAATTGTCTTAATGCCAAAAAGAGCCCAACAGATTTTAGTTTCACAAGTGGAGCAGTAGGGCTATTGCCAAAGTGTTCCCCTTGAGTTATACATGTAAATAGCTTAGCTTAGCATGCAGGGAGTATTACAGATTATATGGCCGCTGCAATGGGAAAGTAGAACAAGAAAGGAAAAACAGGAAAAAGAAGAAAAGATGAAAGAAAGAGGAGATAAAAGGGAGGCAATAATAAAATGTCTTGGGTCTGCTTCATCACCTGCAAAGAGAGACATAAAAAGAACAGCACAATCAATGGATATAGTATAAGAGATTAAAACTGGGAGTACCGAAGGGGGTGCCCGGCACAATCACCCTTTGGAAGGTGGGGTGGACCCTCAATCAACCACCCAGAACCCTCATTGACTAAATGCGAGAGGGGCTGGAGGGAGCCATCCGAGACCCCCCCACCCTCAGGTGTCTTTATCATCCGCCCACCAGACAATGCCCTACATAGATGTGTGTTGTGAAAATGTTGTGGATGAAAGTGTCTATAATGCAACATAAAATTTGGGTGAGGGACATCATTAGAAGGCGGGACCTTCCAGTAACAACCCTCTCCGCAAGGTCCTACATGTGTGGCAGTGTGATGGATCATCCAGATGGAGGAGTCCGGGCATGGGGAAAAAAGGACTGGGGGGCTTCCTGTACTCCCAGGGAGCCAAGTCCTCCGCTGACTATGATAGGCACCCCCATTCCCTGAGAGCCCACTCGGAGAGGGTAGCCCCGCCAGTCGCACCACTATAGCTGGAGGGGCCAGGAACAGGCGGCAGGGCCCGTGAGCCAACCACTCACCAGAGCCAACACCTCCACACCCCCAACCTGTCCACCAAACCTCCTGGCTGTCCCGGTAGAAAAAAAAAATAAATACTAGTTAGCAGCCCTCACAAACCATGCAGAACCCCCCACCCCGGATGAAACCCGCACCAGGAGACGGCATGGACCAGGACTGAAATAGGGGGGCAGACACCAAGCCCTCAAACATCCAAACACATCCATTTGCATTGGGTTTGAAGTGAAAAGAATGTGATCTGTGAAATGCAACCTTTAAAAAGATGCCATTCCTGCACCTAACCCGTAAAACTAAAATTCAAAAATAAAAGTTATTGTCCAAGACTAAGATATTACAGGCTAACAAATGGAACCAAACGACCCATTCATCGGTTACCATTTGCATGTTTCCAAGCGATACAAGGCTTTGTCTATATAAGACTCAAACTCACTGCAGATCCAGACATTTGAATTGAGAACGCTTCCTGGAGAGGTGGCGAAACGTCTTCAAATCTTGGAAACCAAGTCCAGCGGATTTTTTTTTTTTTTGAATTTTTACGGAATTCTAAGACTAAGCCACTATTACAATAAAAAACAAAATGAACAGAAGGTAAGAAGTTGTACGCACAAATACAGCAGGATTGGACAAAGAAAGTAAAAATAAAGCAGGGTGAGGAAAAGTGTTACTTATGTCTTCCAGCAGCATATGCCTATAGCAGCAAAACTATTGACAAAGGATAGGGTATTTGTAAAGAAGCTCTTTGGTCTGCATTTTTTATGACATGTTAAGCATTAAGCAAATGCATTCTAGAACAAGAACCTCACTCTAATTTTGAAGCATGGATTGTTATTTGGTATTTTTGAGGCCCTATTTTAGCTCAGTTTGTTAGTAAATATAGCCTTTCTGTGTATATTTACCATAACCACATGACGTGACTGGGACAACAGTATGTCACTGTGAATGGGTAAAATGTAGGTAAGTGAGGGTGAACCTCCCAGTGTAGTTGCAAAAAAAAAAAAAAAAAAATGTCCAAGAACAAGAGTAAAAAGGCATAAGACGATATTTTGATTTTAAGACGGATAAACCCCGAGTTTTGCTGGGAAAGTCTTACCACTGAGGTTATTGTATTTATGTAGCTAATAGTGCTACTGTTGTTAGCGATGCTTTTAAGCTCTATTCTTTAAGCTGTTGGTTTCCCTCAAGGCATCACAGCATTATTCAATAGCTGTATCAATGAGCTGACATAAAACAGATGTGCCGCCATCTGAATTCCTGGTAGTTCTGCGGCACTGCCAGCAGATGGCACCACATCTGTTTTATGTCAGCTCATCATGCTTGGTGCTGAGGTTCTATTTAGGCTTAAAAAGGACAATCAAAAGACCACAATATTGACGGCTCGAGTACAGTATATAGCCTTATTTCATTATAATCAATTTTATTCTGGTCTTTAGAGAAAAAGTATTAGACATTTGAATGTTACCAATTTTAATTAAGAGAGACAAACTAAATGACGACGCGAATGTAGTGTTCCTTACACAATTATCTTTCGATTCTCTATTTTAATTCTTATTCAGATTGTGCAAATGAAAAAATACATGTAAATTAACATTTTTGAGAAGTGAGAAATATATTTCAGTACCATAAAAAAATGTTTATCTTTCGGAGTGAGTCACAGCTACTGCCAGCACCCCTCCCCTTCATCCTCACTCCCTCTCAGACAGGGGTCGGGAAAATGTCGTGTTTCCCCCTTCCCCCAAGCAGAGTCGGCGGGCGGCCTCGCACCTGCTCACACTTTCTCAGTCGCTCTCTCCATTTCCATTTATTTGTTTATTTTATTTCCTGCGAGCCTTTTGTATGTGCCGACGCCGTCTCCCCAGACAAACACGAGTTATTATGAGATCTTTGGATATGTTGTTGAATTCATTGCTGTTGGTTTTGGTTTAGTAATATTAATGTTGGCACATTGATGTGAAGCGTGTTTCACTGCCCGTCTATCTCTTCTCCTTTTTCTTTTTTCAAGTACCAGCTCCTTGCAGGCTGGAAATAAAAAAGCAAATGCAAAAAGATTGTTTTATGTTGTCATGTGTGTGAAGGAGGGTGACAGCTTGCCTCCGATCACGACCCTGCTTGTACCTGGTGACAAGGAAACAAAAAGTGCTCTTGGTATTGCTGAGGACGGCTGGACGGATCGGTTGTTTTGGGTCCGGTGACAGATACACTCCACATAGTGTCACGAACAGAGCAGGAGAGCAATAAGAGCTCCACCGCTGCCGAAGAAGACTGTCAGCCTGTTTATCAGCACACATTAAAATAGACATCAGCCACCCATCTCTCCCAGCGTGTTCCACTGCTTCTGTAGCAGGTGGGTGTCTGGGAACCTGCCTCCAGGAGTTCATACAGTGCGTCGCTTCCTGTCACTGCTTAGTGTCTCACCTAGAATAACAACCAGGTTCTTTCATTTTAAATTACAGCCCAAATCAAGGTATCACTTAGAAAAACATTTTATTCTTCTATATAAATCCGTTTGGATATCTGCACTGTTACAGTAGCTGAATATCAGAAAAAAGAAAAACATTACAGCAAAAAATTGATTTGAAATACTCAGTTGGAATGCTCAACTAGACATGCATCCGGGTGGCCCTCAACATTACCTTATATAAAAATAAAAAAAATGAACGTTATTTTTTTCTCTCCCTAAAAATAGTGAGATTACTAAACTAACACGTTTAAAAAGTTAATAATTAATTCTCTTAAACAATAAATGTGATTAAATCCTTTCTCTTTTAACACCCGTCTATGCCCGATCTAACCAGAAAATGCGATTTGTTACTTCCAGGAGGTAATTTTTTTTGGCTTTGGATTTTACAGAAATCTAGTCTTTTTTTGCATTTCATTTTAACCTTATCGTATATAATGTGTAGTCTAAAGAAAGAAACAACAAAAATGCAGATAAACATGGTGTACACTAGAACAAATCCAAATCTAGATAAGTAATTTTTTCTTAAAATTAGTGCATTTGTTCTTGCATTGAGGAGGTAAAGGAGACATTTTGCTAATGGAACAGGACAATTTACACTTAAAATAAGAAAACACAATTTCATTGTCTTATTTCAAGTGCATATTATCTAAATATCTTATTTTAAGAGTTAAATTGCTCATTCCGTTGGCAAACCATCTCATTTACCTGCTCAAATTAAGGGTAAATACACTTAATTTAAGACGTTTTTTACTCATTTGAAGACATATTTTACAAATTTTTAGATAATTTTTGCAGTGTTTTCATATTTTTCTGAACTGCTCTGACCCCTTCCTCTGAAGTTAGACAAGCAGTTTAACGTAGAGAATGCAAAAAGCATCCAGTTTCCTCAGAAAAGTCTTTTTTTTTAAGGATGAATGTCCACTTGTGCAAATAGACTGATGCTACGGATCAGGCAGTGACAGTGCCCCTTGGTTTACAGTAAAGTTTTTGCTCTCCCCAACCTTTGTAAGTGTTATAAAGAAATAGTCAACAGCAGTACAATGGATGCACTGCAATCTGCTTTAAATCACAAAGGTCTAATCATTCATAATTTCACTGTCTTGCACTTGTATTAAAAATACTTCTAAAAAAATTTCGTAATTGTCGATTAAAGTTTTCCACGGGCCCCTGCAATTACACCCCCCCAAATTCACTTGTTTTTGCCAAGCTAGTCAGATGTGAGCGTATATCTGAGTTAGCATGTCTATTTCAGCAAGAACCAAACTGTATGGACCGCAGGTTAATTGGACAATTAGCAGCTTGAAGGACTCCTGTTTGAATTTTTTTTTTGTAGCCTGCCAAACAGTCCAAGCATTCCTGAATGGTGAACATACAAAGCAAGCGCTTTCTGACATGGAGGAGCTGCATTTTGAGGGAAGTCTAGGCGGACTATCTCAGCAATGCATGGGGCATTTTGGACTGGAGTCAGGGTCAAGGTATTTTTAGCTCCCATGTACTTACCTCCAGACGCGATGTACCAACTGCTAGATCCTGTCAGCTGTTGAATAATGATAGATATGAAGAGGAGGGGGTGATTTCCCCTGAGATCTGACTACTGAGACCTTGTTGTATCTATTTCATACTTACTATGAGTCTTAGAGTAAAGAGGGGTCTGTAACTAGTAGGCAAAAGAGATATGACCAACAGTCCCAATGTACAATATATTGTGCTTTATTTAAAGTAGAGGCTTTGTGTTGGATGATACATTTTATTGAACTTAAGGGTTGTTCTGGAGTCTTCTAATATTCCCAAACCCTGGTGGCCACAGCTGCTCTCATACAGTAAACCAAGGTTCATGTTGCAGCAGCTGGCCCCTCTTCTGTAGAAGACTAATTTTATCCAGTTTTACTGTCTGTGCTTCGGCCAATTCATGGAGTTATATTAAGGCCACGCAGTCAGTTTCCAAAGTTTAAAGCGGGGGTTTGACATTCACATTTCAAAGGGTATTTTCATCCAAAAAATTCCCTGTGATAAATAGAAGCTATGCGAGTGGCAAGCGCTGTTGTCCTCATGGCCTTCATACTGGTCGGAAGGCCAAAGGATGAAAAGATACCAACCTCGCAGGAGCAATTGAAGTGAAGAAACAATAAAAGCACAACCAAGGTTGTAGACACCTTGAAAACAAAGCCTTAACTCTCAGTTTTTTTTGTGTGTATGTGTGCGTCGTCTGTACGGATTATGGTCTTTTTATGATCTGCAGCCATTTGGCCATTGGGGATGCGAGGGGGGCAAAGACATCCTGCAGCTCTGCCTCTTTTGTTGCACAGCAACGATGCCGAATGTACAGTAAACAAGTACGGCAGGGGTTCCTGTGCTTGTTGCTGCCAGTCTGCTTTTAACTTTGCTTGGTGTTTAGATCTGCTCATGAAACAGAATAAAGCCAATGTAGGTCTGTTTTATGCTCAAAGCCAAAATAAAGAAAATAAGGAA